AGCTCGCTACATGAATCTTCTAGAAAGCTTAAGAGATCAACACATTGCACAATACTTCCATCTTTGATCCTCAATAAAAAAAATAAAAAAAAATAAAATAAAAGAAATAGAGTGAAAAGAATAAGCGCACCTAGAACAATAAAGCTTTAATAAAAGGTCCACTCTCTTATCTTGATGATCGGTATTAGATTTGTGTGCTAGTTTGAGGGTAAGGATGTGATTACTTCTCTAGTTAGCTAAGATAGCAACACACTTGATGCCGGACCTTTCACATGGATTCTAGACTTGTTTTGATTTTCATGATCATTTTCTTGATGTGTGGAGGACCATGCTTGCTTGCTTGATATTGAAATTTTGGGAGATTGCTTAGAAACGGTTGAAAAATTGCATACTTGAGGTAGTTTTCTCTCAATGCTTGTTTGCAATATTGGTGCCTCTTTTGAAAGAATGAGCTTAATGTTTGTGGGTACCATTTCTGGAAACCCTCACGAGACTTTACTCGTCCACTAGGGGTAACCTAGGGGTTCAAAAGGCTTGTTGCATATGCTAAATGTAATCGTGTTCCCTACGAAAGTGGCGCTATCATTTTACTTGCTTTCCAGTTTATACTTGTTTAGTTGTTCATTTCATTCCTTTACTTCTTAGTTCATTGCTAGGAACTAGCAATATTTAAGTTTGGGGGTGTGATGAGCACTGAAAAGTGCGCATTTAAACCCGTTAAGCTTAAGCATTCTAGTACCTTTATCTATCTTACTTTGCCGTTTTAGACTTATTACGTGTTATTTATATTTTCAGGCACTAATCCCAAAATTGAGCTAACTCAGCCAAATAAGAGCTTAATTGAAGCAATCCTGAGATAAACCAAAGGAGGGAGCAAAGTGGAGAAAGCAAGGAGCAAAAAGGAATCAAAGTTGTGCAGCTGAAAAGTTCGATCGATCCAACTTAGAGTTCGATCGATCGAACATCTATGATCGATCACAGTACTTCTCGATAGATCCAACCTTGGCCTTTGCTGAAATTCCAAGTTCGATCGATCCAACATCACCTTCGATCGATCGAACCCTATTTTGTCCTAGTCAAATGATTGATCTTATCCATAGCTGTACGCCTACCAACCACTTTTGTCCTTTTCCCCATAAATATCTTCGAAATATCTCAGCCTTGTTCTTATCCGGAGGAGTCAGACCACTTCGATCGATCCAAGATGCAGTTCGATCGATCGAACCCATCTTCGATCGATCCAAGTTAAGGTTCGATCGATCGAACTTCCTCCAGCGAGAAAAAGTTAAAGTCCAGGTCATTTATTCCGTCCTTCACCTAATCATTTGAGAATATGCCTTGCACGACCACAGCTCATCATAGGGTGTATTTGACCTACCTATATAAGGAATATGATACACTTTTTAGTGAAGGGTCTAGAGTCTCTTGTCACACATTAAAAATCATCTTGGAGGCTATTCTTGGAGAGGAAGAAGGGAGGAAGCTAGAGCAACCATTGGAGGAGATCTTCATCTACAAGGAGCAGCCATGGAGTTAGCCCTTGAGGGTTGGATCATCACTACCATGAGTGGCTAGACATCTTCTTGGGGCTAGAGTTAGCCCCAAGCATGCTTTCTATACTCTAATTTTGTGTATTATTGAGGGATTAGTGTTGTATGATACATCTTGATATTCATGTATATATAAATCTTGATTATTTCATGGTTTGTATGGTTTAATGCTTCCAATTGACTATTCTATTCTACCCATATGTCTATGTATGCTAGAGTAGGATATTCATGTGTTTATCTCTAGATTTAGTGTTTTTGATGCATGTCTATGTGTATTGATGCTATAGATCTAGAGATTATCAAGATGATATGCTTAATGAATGCTATTTTGGTTCATTTGATGGTTTATGCCTATTCTTGATGGTTTGTGCCTCTCCCCTAGTCTAGATAGCTTTATTTTCATGCTAGTAGTGTAGATTTAGTGTAGTGGTAGTATAATGTTAGATGGGAGGACAATCTACTCTTGATGTTTGATGTTCCATGCTTGTGAGTCCAAATGGCATATTCCTCTAATATTGTGTTGCATGTGGATTGTAAGCTTAATGAAGGATTAATGACTTGTTTTGATCTATTGTGCTATCCCCATATTGTCTAGACAATATATGCTCTATTGCTTAGATATATTGTGCTCTTCACATGATGTTTAGACAATACTTGCTTGATTTGTCATCCTTGCCTATTGAATCAACCTAATGCACACACACCCTTATCATATTGCAACACACCCATTACCCTCAATTGATCACTTGTTAGTAGTATAAAAAAGTATTGCTTGGTGGTGATCTCTACACCCCAAGACCTCTCTCTCTTGTTTACCTCATATTATTTTATTTAGTTGAATTCAATTTAGCTTAATCAACCAACCAACCAATTGTGTGATCACTTGACCTACTAACCCTAATTACCATAATTCACAATTCGATACACCATCAAATCCCTTGGGACGATCCCTACTCGCCCTATCTATGTTTTATATAGAGAAAGGTAGTAGTGGCTTTTTATAAATGTAAAACTTGGCCACCTCCTAAACACACACAACTCTTCAAGCTTGACTTGGTATCGCGACCCTTGTAAAGGACCCGGTCATGCGGTACTCCCGATACCCCAGGTGTGCGGTACTCCCGATGCTTATCAATTGTTGGATTATCTATTAAGTGGGTCCTACCACCACATCCAACAATTGAAAATCTCGAGAGTATGATACCTAGAATGATCGATCAGAGTTAAATAAAAATGAATGTGTATGATTTGTTACTCATAACTCTAGTATTTTAGTACTAGGGTTTCAGATAACCTAAATATTTGTTATTGTGAAATTAGGAGAGCCAAAGAAGGAAAATGAAGGAAGAAATCGAAAGGAGAAAAAAAAAGGGCTTCAGTAAGAATTTTCCTTGCAAATATCAAGGTGAACTTGTGGTGGAAGAAATTGAAAGGAGAAAAAAAGGGCTTTAGTAAGAATTTTCCTTGCAAATATCAAGGTGAACTTGTGGGTGGGTCTGTGTGGGCTGGTGCGAGGCATTGACAGACTACCATGGTGGCAGACTTTATTGGTGCACAATCGCACATCGCTTGGGTAAGATGAAGTGCTTATATGTATAGGTGTTATCTCCAAATGTTATTAATTAGGCCGTTTAGGGTAAAAGTCAAAAAATAAAACTGTGCGGATTCGTGTCTAAAGCGGACAATATCATACCATGCGATAGATTGCGCTGTTACAAATGATATTAGATGTCGGGCTCTTAGGGAATTAAGTGGCCGGATTGCAGCGACCTTGTGGCTGGGTATGCCTAAGAGAGTGTGAGGCACTGACATGCTACCATGCTGGTAGGCTACGGGTGCATGATCCTATATCACCACCATGGCGTGTAAACTAGAAGTGCTATATATGTAGTTAGAATTGGTAATATCCAAATTGAACGAGATCTTTGAAGGTAAAACCTAAAGAACAAAACCATATTGTGCAAACTCGACACCAAAGTGAACAACATCATGCCATATGATAGAGTGGGTTGCTATGAATGGTATTGGAGTTGAGCCAAAAGTGTGACCAACATATATGTTGGGTCCCTAAGAGGGTGTGATTGTATGTGTCTTCCAACATACAAAAAATTTCTCTCTTCTGCAGATTATAACTAAGGCGGGTTGGGCACTCAACTCGAGCTCAGCCCATACAGAAAATCTTCAGCCCAAGCCCGCCCATACATAACTAGTCCAACCCGAGCCCCATGAGCTAGTCTTAGAATAATTTGTGTAAAATATAATATAATTTAAACTTATCCCAAGACTTGAACATGAACCCTTCAACATATACCGTAAGCACAGTACCAATATGGCTACACACTTTTATGATTTAAGTCTAGTTATATATATATATAATATTTTTGGGGTTAGGTTAGGTTTCGGGCTTCATCCATATCAACCCAACCCGACCCAAGCCCGAATTGAATTCGATTTAAAAATATATAGACATGTTCAAATCGAAATTAGAAAAACATTCCAAGCCCAAAAAAAAATTTGAGCTGAACTTGAGTTTTTTCAGATTGGGCCCACCCCAGTTATAGCCCTAATTATAGCCCACTCTTTGTTCAACAGTTAAACCAAATCCTATTATACAATTCTAATCACACAGACGATCATATTTATACTCATACGTGTCAGAATTAATTCTGATCATCCTGGTATGTTTTTTTGTGTTCTTGTCTGCCAAAGATAAAAGGAGTGCTCTATTTATCTGTTGTCTTTTAATTTATCGAACAGATGGATCACGACCTGAGATATGAATTTTTAAAGTACTCCTAGAGTTGTATCACTGTTTGACATGCGAATTTTAAAAGTCAACCGGCAATGTCAATATCCTAGTTGCTGGTGGTTGCTCAAGATATGTGTGTTTCTTAATTTTATAGAATCTTTGCTTGGTTAGTCAACTGTAATTAAAGCTGATTTATTACAAGTGTGAATAAACTACTACAGTACTTGGTTCGTTGGATATAAAATCTATAACTTATAAGGAATAGCCAAAGATAAACAAAAATTAAGGAACAATATCAAATAATGACTTCTTAACATAACCAACTTCTTGTTAACTTGTGTACTCTTCCGTGTGGGAATTGTAACATTAATTCCATCATGAAAATTCCATTCTGTCACTCCTTTGCCCATTTATAGTTTCGAGGATTGTCCAATTCTGAATCACCACAATGGTTCAGTTGAGTTGCATGTCGCAACAAATACTTCATCCGTCCATAAAAAAGTGTCACTTTTAATAAATCATAACTCTTACAAATTGTCTTAGAAATTGAATTGACACAGTTCCCAAAAATATGACACTATTATGATACTATTTTTGGAAAGGAAGTAGTACAATTGAACCAAAACCAATATCTATCTTCATATCTAACAGCGTACCTAAGCTTTCAAATTTCGATTTACCATTCTCTAATTTCTCCCACAATGGAACTATATTTACAGGTCGCGTCAGTTCTGAGCTCCTACGAGGACGCATGCCGAAGCGACCCATTTCTTCAGTCATTCGATTCGACCTTCCAACAAAGCACCAGCCGAGTCATCCACAGCCTGGTAGTGGACGTCGGGATTGGGAAACTCTCTCTGAACTCACTCGGAGAAGTCACTGGCTACTACTGCAAAACGAATGAACTAGTGGTAAAATTCCTTGAGGAACGCGAAGAGGACACATTGAAGAACGAAGATCAGTTCGATGTTGTGAAGGACTACTTCGACAACAGTCTCCAGACTCTGGATTTCTGTAATGCTCTCCAGAAGTGCCTCAAGGGTGCCCGAGAGAGCCAATTGACGATTCAAGTCGCTTTGCAGCCATCTGAGGAAGAAGAGAAAGAAGGGTTCGATGGGAAGAGGAAAATCTATTCGAGCACGCTGCAGGAATTGAAGAATTTCGAGACTGCCGGTGACCCATTTACCAGAGAGTTCTTCTTGGTCTTTCAACCTCTTAAAAGTGCGCTTGATAAGAAGTCGAATAAAATGAAGTTTTGGAGGACAATATGGAACGTGATTTTTGGGGTGACTTTTGTTTCTGCTTTGATATTTACCATTTGGGTGCTATTTGTGCGCCCCCGGTTGAGGAATTGGGGGCAGTAGTTACAGCGGTGTTAATCCCAATGGATCATTGGATTGGTTCCCTTTGGATGAAGTATGAGAATAAGCTGAAAGGACAGAAAGAGATAATTCATTCATTAACCAACGAGACTCAGTTTGCAATCTGGGATTTGGACAACATTCGAGTACTTGTGGATACAGTGGGAATTAAGATTGGCTCAGTCTTGCAAAATGCTGATTTTGTTCTTGGAGAAGAGGAGGATGTGGTGCTAGCCATAGATGACATCAAGAAGAAGCTGAGGGAGTTTGCGGAAACAATTGAGAAGTTGAGTAAACATACTGAGGAGTGTAGCACTAGGATAATGAGAGGGAGGGAAAAGATCATGGAGACGATAACCAAACATCACTACATAGAAAGAAGACCTACCAAATAAGCAATAGAGCAGTTGGTACATGGTTGGTCCCTCCAAAGAAAAGGTTAAGGTTCAAATTTCAGTGAAGATACGTGTGAGTTTATTTATGTTTGTATGAGTTTACTTTACCATTCAAAAATAAAAAATTAAGATTGTGTGACTTTGCTCCACTGGCTTAATTTTAATCTTTACAAACTTGGTCCCTTAAAAAAAAAAAGAGTTAATTCCACCTACACTCCCTGACGTTTGCTTATATTCTACTTACACCCCCTCTACATTTCATAATTCCACCTACCTCCCTTGAGGTTTTGATTTATGTAGCAACTTACCCCTTGCCGTTAAGTAACTAACGGTGTTAGCATTAACAAATCAGTACAAGGTCAATTTTACCCCTCCAATACTTGAAATGGCATTTTTAACCTTATTGACCAATGCAAATTTACAAAATTACCCTTAAGATAGTTCTATCGGTGCCAACCCAAACCAAGATAGTTCCTGCTTGTTGTAGCCGAGAATTTCAAGTTTCAACAGATGGATAACTTTTGGCCATGAGGTACACAAGCTTGGAGATGAAGTTGGCGGCTGTTGTAGAGCCGATCCGGTGGCGACGGATCTAGCAAAAGTAGGGAGGAGTTGGCGGTTTGTGAGGATGTTAATGGCGCCGGCAAAGAGGGAGATGGCTGGGTCCGATCCGGCTGTTGAAGATGACGGGCTGTGAAGATGTTGATGGCGGCGCCAGCAAAGAGGAAGATGGCTTACTGTGAGGATGTTGATGGCGCTGGCGAAGAGGGAGATGGCTGGTTTCGATCCGGCTGTTGAAGATGACGGGCTGTGAGGATGTTGATGGCGGCGTCGGTGAAGATGTAGATGGCTTACTGTGACGATGTTGATGGCGCCGGCGAAAACTGAGTTCGAGGCTTTGATGTCCGGCAGCGGCAAGACTGAGTTCGACGAGATGGATTCGGCTGAGCCAAGGCAATAAAAGAAGAGAGAAAAGCTTTGAAGCTTCACACAGTGGACTATAATGGTACAGACTATTGGGGTACGGTGCTTCTTAATCATCCGGCAACATTCGATACAATGACGATGAATACGGAGACGAAGAAGGAGCTAATTGAAGATATTGAGAAGTTCATAAATGGGAAGGAGTATTACAGAAGAGTTAGGAGGGCTTGGAAGCGTGGGTATTTGTTATATAGACCACTCGGTATAGGGAAGTCGAGTTTGGTTGCAGCCATGGCTAATTACTTGAAGTTTGATATGTATGACTTGGACTTGAGAGAGGTTCAATGCAATTCAGATTTGAGGAGGCTGTTGATCAGCACGACAGACCGGTCCATACTGGTGATCGAAGACATTGACTGCAATGTTGGGTTGCAGAATTGAGAGTTTGGGGATGGAACTTAGGATGATAAGATTACATTGTCTGGGTTACTTAACTTCATTGATGGATTGTGGTCGAGCTGTTGAAGATGGCGATGGTTGGATATTGGGGATGATAAGAGCTTATAGATTTTGATTTTTACTGAATTTAATGAAATGTTAGCTTGGATTGAAAATTTCATGTGGAGACATTTTATCGGTCTTCAGATCGACGATGTGCAGCCATGGACGACACGGGTTCTTATCATAGCCATTATCTTCCGTTGCGAGCTTCGCCTAACTGAACTGAACTTCACCGGACTTGGGATTGCCATCCGACTTAGGTGAAGCAATCTTGAGAGGTGAAGAGATCTTCGTCATCTGACTTGGTCACGGGCGTTTACATAATGTGTCTCTATGTAGAGAGAGAGATAGAGGGCATTTAAGTCTTTTTATTTAAGTTATAAATTTTAATATATAATTTATGGGCAAAAAAGTAAAATCACACATTTCTGTTAGAAAACTAAATGGTGGTTACTGACAGGGGGTGTAGGTGGAATTATGAAACGTAGAGGGGGTGTAAGTGAAATATAAGCAAACGTGAGGGGGTGTAGGTGGAATTAACCAAAAAAAAAAAGGTTAGGGTTCAAGTTTCAATGAAGACGTGTGTGAGTTTATTTATGTGTATGAGTTTATTTTATCATTCAAAAATAAAAAATTAAGACTGTGTGACTCTGCTCCAGACTTAATTTTAATCTTATATGTGTATAAGATTAAATTATGAAAAGAGTTTTATTGTGTTCAAAAAAAGGAGATTCTGCATTTCTCCTTTGTCAAAAAGATCATTGCTTCGCTAGTTTTAAGCATTTAATAGATTTCTCAAGTTTCATTCGATTAAACTACAGCTAATTTCACTAAATTTTGAAACTGTTAACTTAGGTAGGTTGTTTGTTGATTGAAGAATGATAACAAGTCTCTTGTGCTGCAATTTTTTTTTTTTTTTTTTTTCGATAATCGGAGTGTCCGTGCAATGTGATCCCTTCACACGAATCGGGTAAAGCTGAAACTATATATACGGTCGTGACCCTTAAGAAATTGATCGCACTTGAGAGAATTCAAATTTGAAATTTAATACTTCCTAAGGCACTAAGTCCCAAGACTTCACCTGGAGTCAATCCCTTAAGGTTAAAATTAAAAAATTAAAAGTCTTGAGCTGCATTTTCTAGAGGGAAATAGTATATGTTTCATAGAAATAATATCCTGATCAGGTTGTAAAAAACATCGTTAAAGAGATGCACTTTTTTTTTTTTTAGGAGATTCATAAAACTACTAAAGTTTAAATGTTGGGCACTAACCTCCCTTGAGGCCTTCCTTTTTCTTTGTCAAATTACACTGACCTTCCTTACACTACTAAATTGTGCAAATTTTTTTTTTATATTTATTATAGTGACAGGAATAAGTTTTTAAATATATCCTTATATAGTGGGTTCACATGCTTTTATAAATTCAAAGTAAGGAGGATAAATTAAAAATATTTTAAAAAATAGTATATTAAATTTTGAATTGGTAGAATTATTATGGGTCTAATCCAAATAATTTTCCTTTCCCTATAGTAAAATGACAATAATAGCTTTAAGGAAGACATGAGATTTATATAGAAAATGGTTAAGGGCATTTCCAATATTTCAATAAGACATTTTGTGTTACGCACATGACTTTATAATTATACTTTTTAATACAAATAATCCCTTATTTGTAATATTTTTATATTTTTAACGGACTTATAGAATCAAAATAAATCTTAAAAGTGTTTTATATACTTAACCAGCGAATTTAGATGATTTGATTTGAAATGCAATATGGTATTCAATATCGGAGTGGATCTTTGTAATATGTATAGCCCAAACTATTGGAAAAATAAAATTAGAACAATAGCCGTGGTGGAGGCCAGGCCCTCGTGAGCCGTTCAGTTTGGTCCGAATCGGACAGCAACACATTTTCACAACGGCTCTGTCTCAAGCATGATCAACATTTTTCCAAACAATGACTTTTCCGGTGATTTGTAAAGCCGAAATTTGGTTTCTTGGGTAGCTTCGGTAGCTCTTATCTAATCCAATGGTGAAAAGTAGTTTGATTGTAGAGGAATTTGAAGGCTTTTAAACAAGGGCGGATCCATTGTCAGTAGGGTGGGCTAAAATTAAACATAAATTTAATAACACAATTTCTTCAGCAAATTTTTTTATAACATAATCCAGATAAATATTTGAATTCAAATATTACAAAATATATATCTAAGTTGTGCTTGACGAGTCTTTAAAGACTCGAATTCGTCGATAATAAACTTCAAGTCAATTTTTCAAACAAGGTCCTAGTCATGCAATCAGTAAGAAATTCATCTCCCATCGTGCTATGTTTTAACATGTTTCATATTTGGTTTTTTTGGTTTTAAAGATTGAATTATTGTAATTTTTGTTTGTGGTTTTATTTTATAAATCAATTTGAAATTCTAGCACTTACCCATCTATATTTGTTTTATCTAAATCTATAGTAAGTTAGTAACTTTTGATTTGTGAATTATTGAATTTAGATGTTTTCTTTTATACTAATACTCCTTGTCTATTTAGAGATCAAAATCATCAAATTTTCGTAGTTTATAATGCAATAGATTTTTTTGTTTATTTGTTGAATACTTTCTAGATAAAAACAGGAGCTCTGTTTATTTTTCATGATGATTTGAAAGTGTTGAAATTATGAATTTATTCTATATATATAATTTCATAACGACCTCTACAACAAATTTATCTCAAAATATGTTTTACTTCATATCCTAATATTCATCATTAATAAGACTTGTTAGGTTTAGGCCTTTATTTTAGTATTGTTGCTTAGTTGACTTGGGCTTATTTGGGTGGGCTAATATTAATAATAATTTTTTTTTTTTTTTTGGGCTTGGCTAAAAATACCCATAGTAATTTGAAAAAACAAAAAAAAAAAATTTGGGATGGGCTAGAGCCTAGCCCAGCCCTACGCTGGATCCGCCAGTGCTTTTAAATAAACTGACTTTAATTTTAGAATGTAAGCGTCAATTTGATAGCTTTACAATTTTAATATGGTGATTTGAGAAACCGAGAATTGGTATGGACTTGAAACCAAGAAACTAGGTTTTTTTTGAAAATTATTTGATTAAATCACATTTTTTTCAGTTACAAATTAAAGTACAACAGTCCCAAGGTTCACAATTCCTACATTCATAAGGAGATTAATAGT